CAGCTCTACCTCTGTCACACTTTAATTCTTCCCAGCAAGTAGTGTCCTCTAATACTTTTTTCATATTTCTGTTATGGTACTTTTTTTTTTGGTACCAGGGATCAAACTCAGGACCTTGCTCTTACAAGGCAGGTGTAGTGCTGCTGAGCTAAATCCCCAGGCCCTGTTTTGGCACTTTTTAATTATAGCCCACAGTGGGTGTGAATGTTTATTTTTTTTTGGTACTGGGGATTGAACTCGGAACCTTGCGCTTGGGAGGCAGGCGGCGGAACCATGTGATGAATCTATTATATCACATTATAATGCAGTTTTTCTTTTGACAATGTTCCTTATTAGACTATTAGATTATCTTAATTTTATATGCTTTGTGCTTTCACTAGTAGCAAACTAGTGAAGAGATGGATGAACAAATAGATGGTATTATAGGAGTTTGATTAAATGACAGATACCTGAGTTAGCTGCATTATTTGGCACTCGTGTGAAGATTATTCAGACCGTGTTTCATGTTAAAATGCATGTTATTTTCTTTTTTGCAGGTATCTCTTTTTTCCTAAGCTGAATTGTTTTTTGAAGCAAAGCATTTATTGGATGCTGGGGATGTAGCTTAGCAGCACAGCACCTGCCTGGCAAGTGCAAGGTTCTGAGTTTGATCCTTGGTATCAAAAAATGGAAAAAAAAATTTATTGGTACATTTTAGATATACATAGTGATAACATTCATCATAGGAAATTTGTACCTGTACATGATATATCTTGCTAAGCTGAATTTTTGAAAGTAAATTTTTTTTTTTTGGTACTAGGGATTGAACTTGGGTCCTTGTGCTTTCGAGGCAGGCGGCAGAAACACTGAGCTAAATCCCCGGCCCAGTACTATTCTTTTTTATAAAATGGAAATGATACATATAAGCTTTTTTCACTTAGTACCAGTCATTACCACTCTCTCATACCATTAAATATTTTTTAAAAATAGATTTTTAAGCTCTTTGCCGCATCTCTTTTGAGAATGAAGACCATTCTCAGCAATCAGACTGTCGACATTCCAAAAAATGTTGACATCACTCTGAAGGGACGCACAGTTATTGTGAAGGGCCCCAGAGGAACCCTGCGGAGGGACTTCAACTACATTAATGTAGAACTCAGTCTCCTTGGAAAGAAAAAGAAGAGGCTCCCGGTTGACAAAGGGTGGGGAAACAGAAAGGAACTGGCTACTGTTTGCCTAATCTGTAGTCACATACAGAACATGATCAAGGGTGTTACACTGGGCTTCTGTTACAAGATGAAGTCTGTGTGTGTTCACTTCCCCATCAGTGTCTTTATTCAGGAGAATGGGTCTCTTGTTGAAATCTGGAATTTCTTGGGTGAAAAATACATCCGCTGGGTTTGTATGAGGGCAGGTGTTGCTTGCTCAGTTTCTCAAGCCCAGAAAGATGAACTAATCCTTGAAGGAAATGACATTGAGCTTGTTTCAAATTCAGCTGCTTTGATTCAGCAAGCAACCTCAGTCAAAAACAAAGATATCAGAAAATTTTTGGATGGCATCTATGTTTCTGAAAAGGGAACAGTTCAGCAACCTGATGAATAAGATTCAAGAGTTATCCAGCTACAGAAACAAGCTTGTGGATTGGAAGATAAATTTGTGATATTTTAATGATGGCAAGAAAAGATCTCTATTGATTTGAAAAAAACATAGATTTTAAAGTTCACTAAGTAAACTAGTTAACTTAAACATTTGTCCTGTTGTTGGACATTTAGATTTTATCTAAGTAGTCTTTGCTTTCATTAAGTCTCCAGAAGCCTCTTATATTAAATATTGTATTTGTTTTTCCACTTTAAGGCAGGGAGCCAGGGTTGGTATTGTCATTTTCTATTAAGTCAAAGCTGTGTCATGATAACATAGGCTGTCCTCTGGTAAATATTGATAATAAAACCTTCATGAAGGTCGATCTTCTGAGTACCTGTTCTCTGTTCAGTAACCTTCTCCCCTCACTTTCCACTCTTAAATGCTTACTGTAGCGCTTGGGCCTCTGTGTCTTGTTCTCTTTTCTCCTTAAAGTTCTTCAGTTGTTTTCCCCTTCACACGCAGTGAAACTGCAAATTCTCTTTTGGTGCCGGGGATCGAACTCAGGACCTTGTGCTTGCAAGGCAGGCAGCGGAACCACTGAGCTAAATCCTTGGCCCCAAAACTACAAATTCTTAATGAGAGCCACAGAAATCCTTAATGGGATCTGTGCTTGCCTGTCTTTGTCCACATTTTTTGATTGATAGATAGATAAATTGATTGTGCTGGGAATTGAACCCAGGGCTTGTGCATGCTAGGCAAATGTTATGCTACTGAGCTGTACCCCAGCTCCCTTTGTCCAATTTTAGTCCAGGCCATTTGCTGCACTTATTTAACTTAGTATTCTTTTATTGGTACCACCTGATTCTTCCTTGCTGGAACCAAAGGGACACAGAGGTGTTGTATATGATTTTCCTTTTCCTTGTTCTACCTTTCTTGCATCTCCTTAATCTGATTAACTTTACTGAGCTTTTACATTTCAGAACATTTAAAAATTTTAACAGATTTCACCTCTTCAGAAAGGCTTTTCTTGCCAGGCATGGTGGTGCATGCCTGCAACTCCAGAATTTGGGAGTCTGAGGCCTGAGGATCGCTCTGAGTTCAAGGCCAGCCTGAACTACAAGGTGAGCTCAAGGCTGGTCTGAACTACATGGTGAGACCCTGTCTCAAAAAAAAGGCTTTTCATGACCTCCCATATTAAAATAGGACATTCCTTTGTTCTCTTTGTGTTTTTCCTTCATAGTGGTTATTTATATCAATTTGTTACAGTGTTCCTTTGCCCAAGCCGTCCTTGACCTACCCAACTGAAGCCCTGAGAGAGGGAGACTTCAATTTATTTCATAAATCAAGTGTGTGGAAATAGCTATATATTTTCTGCTTATAGAATTAGTTAGATTAGTATATAGAAAATGAAATGCATTTCACTTTGTTTTAACCTTGAACCATTATCTTAAATTCACAGTGACTTTCCTTATTTATTTATTTATTTTTGGTATGGGGATCGAACTCAGGTCCTTCTGCTTTCGAGGCAGGCACCAGAACCACTGAGCCAAATCCCCAGCCCTCCTTCTTCTTGATTTTAACCAGTTAATATCTGTTAATTTCCATTAACAGTTCATTAACATGTCTACAGAATTATCCTTTTTTTTTTTGGTACCGGGGATCGAACTTGGGTCCTTGTGCTTGCGCAGCAGGCAGCGAAACCACTGAGCTAAATCCCCGGCCCCATCTACAGAATATCTTGATCAAATGTTCACAGGTTGCTTTTTGTTTTAACAGGTAGTTAAAATAGTATTGGCCAATCATCTTGAAATCGTGAGACTTGGTTTTGCACTTTGTTAGAGTATGTCTGGAAAGTCCCCTCTCCCTTGGAGGGACTCAGCCATCAGAATAGCTCCCTTTTCGGGAAGCAGCTGGAATTCTTCTCTTTGTCATCCAGCTGATTTTTCTTTTCTTTTTCTTTTTTCCTGGCTTCCCTGGAGTTTCTTCCATGCACGTGTTTTCTGGCGTGAGCCAGGAATTGAAAGGGAATCTAAAGTGTTTGGGGTTTTTCTTGTGACCCACTCTCAGCCATGATTTCCCCTCTCAGTTTCTAGCTGCTCCATCCTCTGACATCTGAGATCAGTAAGGCTGAATTTTTGCCTGAATTTTAGCCACTTTGTACTACAGAAATTTTCTGTTGTTGGAAGTTAAGAGAAAGCTGTATAAAAGTGGGTGACACATGCCTGTGGTCCTAGCACTTGGGAGGCTAAGACAGGAGGATCACTGAGTTCGAGGCCAGCCTGGGCTTCATAGGGAGTTCAAGGCCAGCGTGAATTACAAAGCAAAACTCTGTCTCAAACAAACAAACAAAAAAATGTGGTTCCTACTCATTGTGTTTTCTTTCTTTCAAGGGTTCATATCCCCTCCAGAGTCTGCCTGCTTTTTAATACTCCTCAGTATTTTTAAATAGGTTTTATATTTATTGATTTTTTTTTTTTTTTTAGAATTTTTGGTAGCTCTAAATCATCCATTTGGACATAATTTCTTTGTTTTTTTTGGTACCAGGGATTGAGCTCGGAACCTTGCGCTTTCGAGGCAGGCGCTGGACCCACTGAGCTAAATCCCGGGCCCTGTAATTTCTTTGTTTTAAAAATTTCCCATAATATGCCACCTTTTTATTGTTCATTTTTTTTACAGATGCATGCTACCATGCCCAGCTCTGTCATTCTTTATTCACGTTATTTCTCTTATTTCTGTCCATTGTTACCTGTTGGTACATTATAGATTTAACTCCAAAATCTAGTGGCTTAACACAGTCATTTTATTATGTTTACTGGATTCTGTGGGTGAGGAATTTGGGAAGAGTGCAGCCAAAATGATGTATCTCTGCTCCATACATCTGGCACCTCACCCAGGAAAGCTCAGAGTGTGGGGCTGATGCCGTGGCTAGGATGGCATCACCTAGAAGTGTCTCTACGCACACATTGGCAGTTGATGGTAGCTGTTGGCTGGAACTGAAAGGAAACTGTGGGCCAGAACACCTAAAAAAAAAAAAAAGACCCTGTATCAAAATTAATTCTTTAAAAAGAGGTTGGGAATGTAGCTCAGTGACAGAATCCCCCTAGGTTTGATCCCTGGTACTACTAGAAAAAAAAAAGAAAAGATATTTCACTTCCTTCACACTGAGCTACATCCTCAGTCCTTTTAAAATGTATTTTATTTTGAGACAGTGTCTTGCTAGTCATTAAATTACCCAGGGTGGGCTTGAACTTTTTTTGGTTTGTTGTGGTTTTTTGAGACAAGGTCTCACTATGTATCCCAAACTGGTCTTGAACTAGTGGTAATCCTCCTTCCTCAGCCTCTTGAGTGCTGAGATTACAGTTGTGCACCACCATGACCAGCTAGATATTTCACTCCTAGAAACACTTTCTTACTTTGATTACTTTTTGTTTTGTTTGTAGGATACAGTATTTAATGAAAAGTCTATGTTTAAGGAATAAGAATGGCAGGCTTCCTAGATAATTTCCGATGGCCAGAATGTGAATGCATTGACTGGAGTGAGAGAAGAAATGCTGTGGCTTCCGTGGTTGCAGGCATATTGGTAAGTGAGAAAAGCTTAATGATGACATTTATGTCTCATGTTTTGCTCTGGAAATTAGTTGATTCCTTTAAACCAAGAAAACCCTCCCAGGTATTGGATTTCACTACTGTTTTGAATAGATAATTACCAGGATTCTAGATACTGTTACTCCAGAACAGGGTAGATGCTGGGTTTGTTTTGGTAAATTTGTTAAATTTACTACCTTTTCTTTAGTTCTAGTGCTAGCATATTGTGGTTTTTAATTTGATGATCAATGTATGTGTAAGTACTTGAAGATTCTCAAAGGCTCAAAATTTGATGTAACAGAGCTGTTGTGACTCATTGAAGGTCAGGATGTGTAGACAGCAGTGGAAGCACCTGAGACTTCATTAGAATGGAAACTCTGTAGGTGCTCTAGGGAGGCCATAGGATCGTGGTTCCCTTAACTACAGTACTGGGGAGCAGCAACAGAAGAAATTTGTGGAGGAAACCATTAGTTTAATTTGCTTTCTGTTGCTTTCTTTCTTTTTAAACTTTTGGTTACTGAAAATGTTAATATAAATAAAAATAGACAATGGTATAAAGGTCATGCCTTGCTGGGTATGGTGGTGCACACCTGTAATCCCAGCACTTGGGAGGCTGAGGCAGGAGGATCACTGTGAGTTCAAAGCCATCCTGAACTGCACAACAGGACCCTGTCTCAAAACAAAAAAGATCCTTTCTCCCCCTGACCTCAGAAACTTATCATCCAGCTTCAAAAAACAGAACAAAGCAAAAATAAATCACAACCAGTTTTGCTTTATCATGCTATCAGCCACTCCCTATTCCCCACTGCATGTTTTAAAATAGGTTTTAGCATCTTTTATAATTTTTAGAATTCATTTTTGTCAGTGTATAGTTCTGTACCCAAAGTCAAATAAGGGAAAAAACAAAGAAAGTAGGGCAAAGTAGGAACTAAAGATAATTGTGAAGAAGTCTGAATGCAGATTTTTTTTCTTTTTATAATGTGCTTCTTGACTATGTTCATTAATATTTGCGGGGAGGGCAGAATTGACCTCAAATGAGATTAGTGTGTGGCTTTTTTATATTAAATCACTTTCAGATGTATCTGTTATTTCACTTTATAAAGAGTTGGGAAGCTTTTCACTCATTTTATTTTTTTTTTTCCTTTTTTTCCGGTACCGGAATGAAACTCAGGATCTTGCACTTACCAGACACGCTTGGCACCACTGAACTAAATCCCCAGCCTGGCTGTGGTTTTTAACAACATCGTTTTGAGGGGCTGGGGATTTAGCTCTGTGGTGCTGCACCTACCTTGCAAGCGCAAGGTCCTGAGTTCAATCTCTGGTACCAAAAAAAACTCCAAAACCCTCAACAAACGAAAAACAACATGGTTTTGAAAGGCTCTGGAGAGCCAAGCTATTCAATCTGACCTGCTGTAGCAGGGGCACTGTACCCCCAAGCTCAGAATACAGAGTTGATTGAGGATCCTAAGTCTCCCAGGATGCCTTGTTTTTTTTTTTTTGGTACCGGGGATCGAACTCGCAACCTTGCACTTTCGAGGCAGGCACTGGAACCACTGAGCTAAATCCCTGGCCCTGAGGCCTCTTCTTTTAAAAAATTTTTTTAAAAAAATTATTTTTGGTACCAGGGATCGAACTCAGGACTTTGCGCTTTCGAGGCAGGCGGCAGAACCACTGAGCTAAATCCCCGGCCTGGATGCCTCTTCTCTTGGGGTGTTCTGGCAAGAACAAGCAAGGGGTGTGGGCAGTGCCTTGGCCAAGGATGAGGTGGGTGGAATTCTGTTCCCCACCACCTGCTGACTGTACAATGCTGACAAGAAATCTGTTCTCTGAGCAGGAGACCTCCACCCAGATCTCTTGCCCAGGGCAGTGTCTCTTCACTATGCCATGCTGCTCTTGGGCTCCTGCGTTAACTAGCTTTTCATCACTGTGACAGAATACCTGAGAAAAACAGCTTAGAGGAAGAAAGATGTATTTTGGCTCATGGTTTCAGAAGTTTCAGTCTGTGGTCACATGGCTCCATTGCTGTAGGCCCGTGGCAAGGGAGGGACATCATGGTGGAAGGGTGTGGCAGAGGAAAACTGCTCACCTCATGGAAGCCAGGAAGCAGAGGGTGATAGACTGAGAGAGTTAGAGGAAGGGACTGGGGTCCTAGTACATCCTTTAAGCAAGTGTCTCCTATGACCTGTTGCCTTCACAGGCCTCGCCTGCTAATAGCCCATTCAGCCATGAACTCATCATTTTATCCATTGATGAGATTAATGCCCTCATGATCCAGTCTACTATCTAGGCCCCATCTCTGAACATTGCTATATTGGTGATCAAGTCTTCAGCACAATGAGTCTTTTGGGGGAACATTGTAGATCCTAGCCATAAAGTGGGGAAGTGGATATAGGGAGCAGAGGGACCCCACACTCTGAACTCAGGGGTCATTGGTTGGTGGCTGAAGGAGGGGGAGAGTTCATTGGTGTCTGGGCCATGCAGCCCTGGCCTGTATGCTCATCAAGGCCTGCAGTGCGTAAATGACAGCCAAAGGGTTTAGCTAGGTTAAAAATGTTAAAAACATTTGTTAAAAAAATATATTAAATATGAGGATTATATATTTCCCTATTCTGTCAGGACTTTAGAAAATATCATCACACCTGCATTTAATTTGTCTAAGAAATTCTGTAGCAACTTGTCTGCTTTGTATCTGTTCCATTTACATGGAACTGTTCAGTTTGTTAAACTAGAAACATTTTACAAACTCATGTTCAGTCAGTTCAGCAATATTAAATGACATAACTAAGACAGTAGCAGGCTAAAATAGTTTCGCAGAGGTGATGACTGACTCTTGGTAAGCATGCCTCTCATTTGTGGGAACAGAAGTGCTTGGGAATATTGGAAAGAAATGCTGCCTAGAGAGCATTGGCTGTGTCTTCAGTTTTTTACAGGCTGGTGGATAATGATTGACGCAGCAGTGGTCTATCCTAAGCCGGAACAGTTGAACCATACTTTTCACACCTGTGGTGTGTTTTCCACATTGGCCTTCTTCATGTAAGTATGAGGTAATTCTCAATTCAAGATTGAAAAAAATATTTTTCCCTTAATGGTCAGTGATTTCTTGTGTAACTTCAGTTTTATTGATGGATTCTTCTTTAACATGACACATTTGTATTCTCAGTTTATTAAGGTTGCTTTTGTGACACTGGCCGTTGGACCTGGGGTCTCATGTGCTAGGCAGGCACTCTAACACTTCTACATTTTGAGACAGGGTCTCCCTAAATTGGCTAGGCCAGCCTTGAACTTTTGCCCCTCCTGCCTCAAACTGTTGAGTAACTGGGGTTGTAGGCATGCACCACCATGTCTGGTTAAGTTGGGTTTTTTTTAAACCAAGAATGAGTATTGAATTTAGTCAAATACCTGGGTTTTTATTTAGTTTTTTGAGAAGGTCTCGCTATGTAGTTTAGGCTGGCCTTAAATTCACTATGTAGCCCAAGCTGGCCTCGAACTCCTGACGATCTTTCTGTCTCAGCCTTCCAAGTGCTGAGATTATGGGTGTGCGCCACCATGCCCAGCTTTAGTCAAATACAGTATCTTTTTTAGCATCTATAAGATTATATGTACCTTTTCTCCTTTTATTTGTTAAACTGGTAAGTTAGCATATTTTGTTAGTTTCAAGGTATATTTTTTCACACTATGTTAGTATCATACTATCACACTCTTATAGTCAGTGGTCTCTTCAGAATTATAATAACTTTTCTTTCTTTCTTGGTAGTATTAAAAAATTAATGGTGCATCTTCAAATTGGTGGTATCTTAAGTTTAATAAAATAAGTTACATTTCTAAATGCTTAGCTTTTACCATGAGGTTTGTTTTGTTTTGTTTTTTAAAATGTGCTCCTCAACTATGTTCTTATTTGGGGGGAGAGCAGAATTGATTGCAAATGAGATTGGCCTGTGACTCTTCTTTTTTATTAAATCACTTTCAGGTTTATGAGTTATTTCACTTCCTAAAAGAGTTTGGAAGCTTTCCATGCATGCCTTATAACAATTTTTTAAAATATTAAACATTAAGATTATATAATATCCTTACTCTGTCCAGAATTTTATTTTTATTTATTTATTTATTTTGGTACCAGTGATCAAACTCGGGTCCTTGGCGCTTACAAGGCAGGTGGTGGAACCACTGAGCTAGATCCTCGGCCCTTTCAGGAATTTTAAAGAAAGGTTATATTATGGCAAATGAAACTACATACAGTGGACCCTCAAATTATGACTGGCCTGACATACGAACAACTTGGGTTACAACTGGAATTTTAGTTTTAACTTACGACCAATGTCTGGAGTTATGACCCTAATGTCGGCTGCTTGTGCTTCCCGATCATCTCACATACAGATTTAACCCTTAAAGGGTTTTGGAAGGAACATTACAACATTCTTTCCTGTGTGGGGTTCATTGAGAAATCCTGGGCCAGTGTCTCCCTAAGGACACTGAGATCTGCCAGAGAGTCTTTGAAGGCTGTGTAGAGGAGCCTGAGCCTCAGTTGACCAACTTGAGTTACAACCAGCCCTCAAGAGCGAATTGAGTTTGTATTTTTTTTTTTGGTATCGGGGATCAAACTAGGGACCTTGCGGTTGCAAGGCAGGCGCCAGAACCACTGAGCTAAATCCCCGGCCCTCGAATTGAGTTTGTAAATCAAGGGTCCACTGTACTTAATATCCATTCAGGCTGCTAAGAAAAGGCAATTCCTGCTACTCATTAGTGTGCTCTGCTCTAACAGAAGTGGAAAGATGCCGAATAAAGTGGTCCTGTTTGTATATGGAGTAAATTTCATCTGAGTTTAAGAGAAATCACTTGGCTTCTAACGAAATGAGGACCTGTTGAGCTCTTTTTTGTTTTTGGTGCTAGGGATGAATCCAGGGGCTGCATGTGCTGAGCTTGGTATCACAGGGTCTCCCATTGAGTGACACTCCCAACTCCCATTTAACTCTTGTGAGAACCTTAAAATGGGATGTATCCATTTAAAATAGGTGAAGAAATGAGAAAATTGGCTGCTCTTTCATAATCTGTGGAGACAAGTGGTAAAATCTCTTAAAATAAGTATGTTTTCTGGGTGTAGTTTAGGGGAAAAAAGACTAATGTAATATTTCTATGCAGGATTCCTGTTAGAAGATATGTTTAAATATTGACCTTATTTAGGAAATAATCTGTTTCCTTCTAAGTGAATATTTTAATAGCATGAAAGCTCATTGGATGATTTTGTTTGTTCTAGGATAAATGCGGTGTCCAACGCGCAGGTGAGAGGTGACAGCTATGAAAGCGGCTGTCTAGGAAGAACAGGTAAAGGCATTGTGGGCTGCAAGTGGATACAGGCAACATAGGGACTGTGCAGCAGAAAAGCTAAGGCCTCCTTTGAGTCCTTATTCAGGACTAGTAATGATAATAAAGAACATTTTTATTAACTTTTTTTTAATTTTAAAATTTTTTTGTTTTTTTTTGTTTTTGAGACAGGGTTTCACTATATAGCCCACATTCCCTTGAAGTCTTTTATTTATTTATTTATTTATACTGGGGATCCAACTCAGGACCTTGCATTTCCGAGGCAAGGGGCAGAACCACTGAGCTAAATCCCCAGCCCCTTAGCCTGGAACTCTTTTTTTTTTTTTTGGTACTGGGGATCAAACTCGGGACCTTGCACCTTCAAGGCAGGTGGCGACACCACTAAGCTAAATCCCTGGCCCCTAGCCTCGAATTCTTGACTGTCCTCCTGCCTCAGCCTCCTGAGTGCTGGGATTACAAGTGTGCGCCATTACCAGCATGTGCTGGGATTACAAGCCATGCCCAGCTTTATTAACTTTTTAAAAAGTCTTAGTTTTATATAAATTCTTATGAAAGTTAAAGTAATGATATTTGTCATGTTATGCTGCTCATAGTATAGATCAAAAATCAGTGGGTCATGGACTCCAGGGTACCCCTGCAGTGCTAAGGATTGACTTAATCACCCACACTGCTGGCCAAGAATGTTCCTTCCCATAGCAGCCGCAGTCACTGTGACTCAGCAGTGGACATGAGAGGGCTAAGGCAGGACTGCAGTGCTTCTCACATTCAATTCTGATTACGTGAGTAGCCACCCACAGGCTGCAACAAAATTGTTTAGAAGAAACTTGCTGTTTGTCTGCAAATGAATTAATTTGTAGTTTGAATTCTTTTGAATTGTCATCCAATGATATTTTTCTTTATTTAGGCTATAACACATTCTCTTAGGATCCAGGAGTTTGTTCTCAGTGGAATTTCAGTGACCCATGTAAAAAGCACAGTGTGGGAAGTCCTGTTTTCAACCTTCAAGAAGCAGAAAAAATGATTTTTGTTTACAGTTGGAAATTTGCAATAGATGGGAGAGGAATTTTGAAGGGTGATTAAGAATAAGCAAATACTGGGCTGGGGATTTAGCTCAGTGGTTTTGCCGCCTGCTTCGCAAGCGCAAGGACCCAAGTTCGATTCCTGGTACCAAAAAAAAAAAAAAAAAAAAAAGAATAAGCAAATACTTACAGAAAGCTTAATGTATGTCAGAGACTGCCCCGAGGGAGTCACAGTATTAACTCATTAACTGTGTTCTCACTGACCTCTTTTTTGTTTTGTTTTGTTTTTTGAGACAGGTTCCTATGTAGTTCATGTCAGCCATGAGCTCACTGTGTAGCCCAGACTGGTCTCGAACTTGCAATCCTCCTGTCTCAGCCTCCAGAGTGCTAGGATTATAGGCATACTTCACCTCGACTGGTGTAGGTCTTCAGTGTTAGATGCAAAAACTAAGGCACAGAAAACTTAGCTTGCCCAAAGTCACAGAATAAGTGGTGGAGCCAAAGACTTCTGACCCCAGGGGCCATCCTTTTACCCTCTGTGGTGTCCATGTTCCCAGTCCAGAGCCATTGGTCCCTTTGGTTTAGTGCTATGTGGTATCTTTTATTGGTATTACAGGCGTGCGCCACCGTGCCCAGTTTGGTTTCCATACTTTTTACCCTCCCTCTGTGATGGTTACATTTTATTTTTTGAGTGTTCCACCCATTTAAATTGTCAATACAGATACGCTTTTTTTGGGGGGGGCTACTGGGGATCAAACTTGGGACCTTGTGCTTGCGAGGCAAGTGGGAGAACCACTGAGCCAAATCCCCGGCCCTCACCCACTTAAATTGTACATTTGTGTTTATATGTAGTGCATAGTGCAAGTTTTGACTAGGGCTTCAGAAGTTAAGACAGAACTGTCCTATAGTCCAGTTAGGCATTGTCACACTAAGCTTTCTTATAACTTAAATGGCTGATTTGTAAACTATCTTCATTTAATTCCCAGAGGAATTTGTAGGACAGCATCAAAATAGTAAATATACCATAAATTATATTCTTAAGTAATAAATGTGTAAAAAGGTGTAGGATCTAGGTGGAAAAAAAATAATTGTACGTAGAATCTAGTTCAAAATACATCCTCTTAACTGTTTATTTATTTTTATTTATTTATTTATTTTTGGTACCAGGGATCAAACTCGGGTCCTTGTGTTTGCAGGGCAAAATCCCTGGCCCTCTTAACTGTTTATTAATCTTTTTTATTTTTTTGGTACCGGGGATCGAACTCAGGTCCTTGCGCTTGCTTGCTTAGCAGGCGGCGAAACCACTGAGCTAAATCCCTGGCCCCTGTTTATTAATCTTAAATCTGAGCTTCCTCGTAGCCAAAGTAAAAAAAGGAAAATGTTTTTTTTAAAAAAATAATTAATTAATTTATTTATTTATTGGTACTCAGGACCTTGTGCTTTTGAGGCAGGCAGTGGAACCTTCACTGAGCTAAATCCCCGGCTCAGAATGTTTTATTTTTTGCCTAACAAAAGCATCCTCATTTTTCAAGATAATTTTTTTTCTGGTTTAATTCTATTAGAAAGTTTTAACATGTATGGCCATATATAAAGAATGCGATGGTTACCAGGCGTGGTGGCACATGCCTATAATCCCATCACTTGGGAGGCTAAGGCAGGAGGATTGCCACAAGTTCTAGGCCAGGTTGGGCTACATAGTTCAAGGCCAGCCTAAACTAATAGTAAGACCCTGTCTCAGAAAAGCAAAAAAAAAAAAAAAAAAGGGTATGATGGAAAATAATTATAAGGATTTTTAACAGTTGCTTTTATTCACTTTAGATAAAAGCTGTAATTGGATAAGCTTAGCAGTTGTCTTTCTCCATGGAATGAAACATGACCTTGTATTTCTAGAGATCTGCTGCTTAGTATTGTAGTAAAATTTAGATCATCTGGAAGCCCATTTCTCTCAAATATCAGCTATTCTAGCCCTGCTGAACTTGGATCAATGCTTCTTGAGTATCTGGTGTCTAAAATGCATGTTTTTATTTGCTTAGTAACAATATCTGCGTTTGGGGCATATTTCATTTTCTGTGTAGAAATTGGCTGGGGTTTTATTTTCACATCAGTGGAGCTTTATTCCTTTCCCATAGGATGATGGCCCATCAGTATCCCTGTGAAAAGTGTCTGATGCAAGTATTAGGCTGCTTTCCTGAGATCTTTTTTTTTTTTTTTGTACTGGGGATCGAACTCAGGACCTTTTGCTTGCAAGGCAGACAGCTGAGCTAAATCCCCGGCCCTAGGCTGCTTTCCTAAAAATGTGTTCAATTTACTTCAGGGCCCAGATGGTTACGTTATTGAGAGTCTAGAATCCTATACACTCTAGGGTTGAAGAGATGCTTCTGACTTTGAGCTTTTAAAGGGTATGTGGTACAAGTTGGCTACTTCAGCCAGAAAAGTCTGAATATACTTATGAATAATGGCCCTATTTACATCAGATTGAGCAGTGGTGTGATTTCAGAAGCTTACCATTTACTAGAAGGGGACATGTTGGTCCTTGTTCATTTGAAATCTCTTGTTCCTGCCTGATGATGATTGAAGTACATTTGGTGCTCCTTACAGAGAAATTATTTTGATAATGTGTGTAATAATGTGCTTTTTCAGTTAGCATTTAATGAACCAGTTTAGTTAAATAATTACTAATGAAGTTTGCAGAAGTTACTCAGGTACTAGTTTCTCTAGCCAGTAAAAAGGTAATTTTTTTCTTTTTCCCTGTCCAGATATGGTCTGTAACTCCATTTAGGTTTTTAAATCTTTATTCAGTTAACTGTAATACAGACATATATAAATATGTGACTATCTTTTTTTTTTGGTACCAGGGATCAAACTCGGGACCTTGTGCTTGCAAGGCAGGCGCTGGAACCACTGAGCTAAATCCCTGGCTTAATATATGACTATCTTTGACATGCATACTATATACTAGACAAACACTGTCTCTAGTGTTAAACATCCCTAAGACATTATGGAACTGCAAAACTGAGCAAAATCACAAAGCCGCTTCTTCACACAGGTGCTCGAGTTTGGCTCTTCATTGGTTTCATGCTGATGTTCGGGTCACTTATTGCTTCCATGTGGATTCTTTTTGGGGCATATGTTACCCAGAGTAAGTATGTGTTCCTGCTTTCTTTCATAGGACAGCTTCGTGTGTCTTCTGTATTTAGCTAAATCTGTTAAGTCCACCCAAAGTAAGATGTAGTGTAGTTATTAAATTAGCATGAATCTGTCCCCCTGTGTGAAAGGTCAATGGTTGGTTTTTTTTTTTTTGGTACTGGGGATCAAACTCGGGTCCTTGCGCTTGTGTAGCAGGCGTCGAAACCACTGAGCTAAATCCCTGGCCCAAGGGTCACTGGTTGTTGACACAGCCTGTCACTGTGCAGTAGAATGGCCCTGGGTGGGAGTCCCAACCACTGACAACGCCTGGACTAGAGGCTGTTTCTAGAATTTCTGACTCCTTTCTTTTTTTTTTTGGTACTGGTGATCAAACTCCAGTCCTTACGCTTTTGAGGCAGACGACAGAAGCACTGAGCTAAATCCCTGGCCCTGACTCCTTTCCTTTCCTCGCACAGCTGTGGAGCTCAAGACTGACCTGGACTACACAGCGAGACCTTGTCTCAAAAAACTGAAGAAAAAGAAAAAGTGTATAACACAGGTTTTAGTGTATTTTCAGTGTTGTGCTCCTGCTGTCACAATCAAATTTTAGGACATTTATCACCCCCAAAGAAACTCCAAACCCCTCAGGCAATCATCCCTCCCTCCCTCTCTTCCCCAGTCCTGGACAGTCACAGATATACCTTCTGCCCCTGTAGACCTGCCTATTTTGTGTAAATCACATAGGGAAATATGTTTTTGGCTCATTTTATCTCTGGCTCCAAGAAGAGTGGGATACTATCACTGATTTTCTTGGAAGATCTGTATAGGTATGGTATAAGGAAAATTTTAGGTAATTTAAGTTTCTTTGAGCAAAGAATGATTCCTTAATTGGGTAGCATCAGAAGCAAACAGGTTCAGAGAGCTTAATCAGGGCCGGGGATTTAGCTCAATGGTTCCAGCACCTGCCTTGCAAGGGCAAGGTCCCAAGTTCGATCCCCGGTACCAAAAAAAACCCCCAAAAACAGCTTGATCAGGCAGCCTGAGGAGTGGCCTATAGGCTGAGGACATTGAGCTATAGCTGGGTTTTGCCTTAGACATGGCGTGATGAGGCATTTGTCTTATTTGGAGATTGGCTGTTCACTGGCTGCCTGTGATTGGTTGAAACTCAGCTATTTCTTACAAAAAATACATTCCTAAATTAGGTTTCAGTTTGTATACACACTTAGTGAGGTTTTGCTGGAACTCAAAGTATAAAGATAGCCTCAGTCAGTGGTGTTAAATTACTTGAAGCAACACATGCCGCTTTTCAAGTTCTGAAATGAAAACGGGAGTAAGTTATTTCTGTAAGGTCTATATCTTACTGAATCTTTAAAGAACTAGAACACAGTGAGGAACTTTTTTATTGGTACCGGGGATCGAACTCGGGACCTTGTGCTTTCGAGGCAGGTGCCGGAACCACTGAGCTAAATCCCCAGCCCTGGGAAGTTCTTAATTATGCATCTCATCCTAATTCAACAGCATTGGTCATTATGTATACTTTTCTGCTTCTAAAATAAATATGTTTTTATTTCAGAGGACATTTCTAACATGTTTTAAATCTTTTACTGTACAGATTATCCTGAACTATTAATATTCATAATAGCAGTTACCATTTATATATAGGTTGAGCATCTAATCTGAAACCCAAAATGGCCCACAATTAGAAACTTTTTGAGGGCTGACATGATGCTACAAATGGGGAATTCCACACCTGATCTCATGTGATAGGTTTCAGTCAAAACATAAGAGCACTAAAAATACTGTGTAAAATCAACTTCAGGCTATGTGTATGAGGTATAAATGAAACATAATTGAATTTAGTGTTTAGACTCGGGTCACATCCCCAAGATATCTCATTATGTATATTTAGATATTCCAATATTGAAAAAAAAATGAAATCTGAAACACTTTGATCTGAAGCATTTCTAATAAGGTAGTCTATCAGTACCATTTAATGGATCAAATGGTACTGGTATTCTAAGCAGTATATATAGACATTGATTTAAGTCTCATTTTCTATGGGCTAGGTGCTATGGTGGGCCCATTTTATAGATGGGAAACTAAGCTATATTGAAATTCAAGGGATGAACAACTTGGTTTATGACCAGAATTTTAGTTTTAACATATGACCAAGGTCTTGAGTTACAGCCCAATGCCAGCTGCTTGTGCAGTTGTAAACAAAGACTCATGATGCCAGAAAAGCATATGTAAGATGCTCAAGTTTGTGGACATGATTTCGTTCAGTGCTTTATATAATCACTACAATTACTGCTATCAAAGTGCCCCCCCCCCCAAGCTAGAAAAGAACCTAAGGAAGGAAGGGAGAAAGCGATCACAATAGAAAAGAAGAAAGAAAATTGTGGAGGAATATGAGATTACCATTCATGTGACCGATCTAGCTAATATGTACAGCCTGTTGAAATCTAGCATCTCGACAGTCTTACAGAGAGAAGATTTGTATAAGGAAGCTAGTGTTGCTAAAGGTGTTAATCAAATTAGTAAGTCATGATCAACAGTGTTGGACAAGGTAGAAAGGCTGTTATTATGTGGATAAACAAAAGGCAGATGGCAGGTTATAGGCTTTCTGAGGCTATACTCTATGAAAATGCTAGGGTTATAAATGTAGATCTTGTAAAGGATAATCCATCAACGAGTGATAATGGTGAAACATTTTGTGCCAGTAAGGGGTGGTTTCACAATTTAAAAGCAAGAACTGGGATTCATAGCATAACTAGGCATGGTGAATCATCCAGTGCTGATAAAAGGGCTGCTGAAAATTACATACAGCAGTTTGACATGATGACACAGAGAAATGGCTTTTGCTTTCATCAAGTCTTCAACTGTGATGAAATTGGCCTTTTCTGGAAGAAAATTCCCAGGAGAACATACATTGCTCAGGAAGAGAAGAAAATGGCAGGCCACAAGCTTGTGAAGGATAGGCTAACCTTATTGCTGCGTGCCAATGCGAGGGGTAACCTCTACAAAGGAAAAGAGTGACAGACCATGAGAAAGAGACCAGCTAGGAGCTGTAGTAGCTTTTGATAAGTCTTTCTGGTGTTTCCTTTCTGGAATTCATCTTCACAAAATAGCTGAATTTAAAATATTTCTAACGAACTGATTAATGAGGGAAAAGAAAATCTGTACTGAAGACATAAATTTTACCATAAACAATTATGCATATCAAAAAGATACACCTTAAAAAAACTACAAAAAAGTGAGAAAAAACCTGAGTTACAGAGAGTAAAATTTATTTAATGAGAAACTAGAATTAATACAAATTAATAAACACACAGACACACAATTACAGCCACATTACATACTGACTCACAAAGCGGGAAAGCAGTAGTGCAAGACTGCCGAGATGGCTTGTCAGTTAAAGAAAGGGAAACCCAGGGCAGGGGATTTAGCTCAGTGGTTCCAGTGCCTGCCTCGCAAGTGCAAAGTCCTGAGCTTGATCTTCGGTACCAAAAAAAAAAAAGGGAAAACCAAATACACATGTACCAGAAAACAAAGCAGAAAACCAATATATATATATTTTTTGGTACTGGGGATCAAACTCGGGTCCTTGCGCTTGCGTAGCAGGCGGCGAAACCGCTGAGCTAAATCCCCGGCCCAGAAAACCAATGTTTTTTAACAATACAATCAATCACAACAAACACAAAATTGAGAGTTATTTAAAAATGCTTCCTTTCTAGGGCCAGGGATTTAGCTCAGTGGTTTCGCCGCCTGCTGCGCAAGCGCAAGAACCTGAGATCGATCCCTGGTACCAAAAAAACAACAACAAAAAAACAAATAAAAATGCTTCCTTTCCTAATACAAAAGATGCCCATCTCTATATAATGTATATTATATTTTTTTCTAGTGGTTTACTATTGACTTATTTTAAAATACATTGGTGTTACCACATGCAACTGTTTCCTGTATGTATGTATGTATTTATTTGTGCTATTGGGGATTGAACCCAGAACCTTCCCACTGAGCTTCCTCTCCAGATTTTTGCCATTTTTTATTTTGAGATAGGGTGTCGTGAATTTGCTCAGTTCCCTAGATGGGACTCAAACTTGTGATCCTCCTGCCTCAGCCTCCCACAGTGCTGGGATTGTAGGAATACACCACCATACCTGGCCTATTTCCTGTATATAATAGCCTTTCTATTTACCTTCTTGTGTCTAGCTTCCAGTTACCAGAAGAGTTTCAGAATGGCAGGGCAGCCTTATTCTCCGTGAAATTGAATGCAGCAGTTTTAGACACTCATCTGAAAATGTTTGATTGCTGGTTCAACACATGGAAATAGTTACATTGGTGTCTAAATTGTCATTTTCTGCAAAAAGCTGTGCAATTCTGGTGTCAAACACTAGGAATTCATAATGGCTATTACAGTTCTCATGAATAGATTGAGGATTTGCTTCCCGTGTCAGTTGCCACCTATGACCATTTAGCTCGTCAATAAAGCAAACTTTTCAACTTGATTGTGTGTTCCTGTCAGTTATATGATTTTGAAGAACTGCTCGTAACCATTGTATTTCTCCTGTTTTTCCAAATTCAACATCATATAAAAGCCAAAATGGGACTGCATCATCACCTAGTCGGCAGCACCAGGAAGATTAATGTCTGTAATGTCTGTAGCAAGAAACACTATGCCTCTCTTTGCAGAGTTGTAATGGTTTTGTGCAGATGCATCCGGTGGGGCATGCCAGCATGTGGAGAGCTTTGCCATTTACAGGAAGCATGAGGGCATGGCAGGAGTAAGGCCTAAACTCACAGAGCTCTTCGTGGTCTGCTTCTCTGTGTGGAACTTACTGCACATCCATAAGAGGCATATTTACAAAGGGAAAGTACTGGGCTGGGGATTTAGCTCAGTGGTTTTGCTGCCTGCTGCACAAGCCCAAGGACCCGAGTTCGATCCCCAGTACCAAAAAAACCAAACAAACAAAGGGAAAGTACTGCATTGGCTGCTTTCTCCATAGCCAAGTTGCAGATGGATACTAACAGATCCTGGGCAAGTCAGACAACACATAAGCTTTGGATAAAAGTTTCTACAAGCAAGATGGCCACTTTGTGGCATTGAAGAATGGGTGGCACCACGTAGTCAAAGCAGATACGACACTCAAAAAGACTGAGTTGTTGGATGCAGTTGTGCCAGTCTGGGCAGGCACTCACTGGCTTGGTAGATACTTGGAGGTACCAGCAATCTGACAGCTTGTTTCTTTTTTTTTTTTTTTTGGTACTGAGGATCGAACTCGGGACCTTGCGCTTACGAGGCAGGTGGCGGAACCACTGAGCTAAATCCCCAGCCCTGACAGTTTGTTTCTTATGAACAAAAGAGTAGATTCTTTGCACCTCCAGGTTCCCCTAGGACAGAGTGTTCCAGTGGAGACACTCAAGCTAGGCTCTGAATGTTGGGGCTTTTGCATCAGCCTCCTAGAAGCAACTTCTGACCCTGGAATTCTTAGACTTGCTTTTCTTAGCTTGTTTCTTGCCTATTTCTTTTCTTTTTTTTTTTTTGGTACCGGGAATCGAACTCGGGACCTTGCGCTTGCAAGGCAGGTGCTGGAACCACTGAGCTAAATCCCCGGCCCTTGCCTATTTCTTTATACAAAACAAAAATAATAAAATAAGAAGACCCGATAACACTTACTTTTATCTAGAATGAGAACAGTCTTTTGGGAGGTGGCATTTTATTATTTCATTTTCATTATAGATGTCTTAGAGTTGATAAATAATAGTATGATGTAATATAGAGAGCATGGTCATTATGAGTAACAGGACTTCGTTACTAATTCATTTTACTTTGTATGTGCAGATACCGATGTTTATCCAGGGCTAGCTGTGTTTTTTCAAAATGCTCTTATATTTTTTAGGTAAGTTGCTTAATTTCTTAGCCATAGCTACAACATTTAAAGAAATGTCAGCTCTGTCATAAGAACAACATGTATATAGAATTAGAATGCATAGGACTTGAGAAAGTAAAAATGCCATTATTACGTAAAAGCATGTCAGACCCTCTAACTTGAGGTCATGCTATGTGTCAAAACCTCTGCTGGATGCTTTATATATGTTAGCATTCCATACATCAAATGTTGTTCCTGTTTTATTATGAGGAAATCAGGCTGAGAACTTATGTAAGGCTACTGTGCAGGACAGGGTTGCTTTCAGTGCCTGCGCATTGTTAGAAAAATGTATCATGTACCTCTGTTAAAAAAAAGACAGAATTAATGCATTATATGTACACTATATATAAAACTTTGTAGGACTTGAGTTTGAGTTTTCTGATTGGATTTTTAAGATAAGTGTAAAAATAAACCAATATTAAAAGTATTGCTTAGGGGAAATCTTCTAGAATCCCCTCAAACTGAATCCTACCTTCCAGTGCTGGCAACCTCTGAGAGCTTTCAGTGATATACACAGCTCTGCTGTGGCATGTGTGCCACAGGCTCACACCCTGCTATATTCTCTGCTTTTCAGAATGATTATCATTTAGGTATCTACTTAGAAAACATATCCTTCCCCCCAAATCATTAAGCTATAACCCATTAAGAACTATATTTTTTATAACTAGTGTTAAGCAACATGATTATGACATACTGTGGTTTCTTCTATCTTCTGCTGGGGTTCATTGAGTTTCTTGGTTCTATGAGTTTATAGTTTTCATCAAATTTGAGCTGTTTTTTCCACCATTATTTCATCAGATTATTTTCTGTCCATCTTGCCCTTCTTCTGAGAGTCCAGGGATATCTATATATGTGATATATATATATGATATATATATGATATATATATGGTATATATGTGATATATATATGATATGTATATATGGTATATGGCTGCTTCTTTGCAGTTAATCTAGAAGAAAGGGTCTTGCTATTCTGGGCAGGCTGGGCTCAAACTTGTGGGCTCCAGTGATCCTCCTGCTTCAGCTTCCTCAGTGGCTGGGGTTACAGGTGCATCCCACTGTGCCCAGCTTCTGTATTAGGTTTCTTGAAATTGCTCACAGTTTCCTAATGCTCAGGTCTGTCTCCTCTCTCTTCCCCTCCGCTCTCTTCCTTCCTTCCTTCCCTCTCCTCTTTCATTTGTATTTTTTTAAAGTTTCTGTTGTTTTTTCTCTTGCATTTCAGTTTGGATAGTTTCTATTGGTGTGTCTTTAAGTTCACTGATCTCTACTTCAGCAGTATCTTACCTATCTCGTCTAATGAATTTTTCATCTCAGACGTTGTATTTTTCCTATCTAGAAGTTGACTTGGGTCTTTATGTTTTCCATGTCTCTCCTTAATGTTCCTACTTCTGCCTTCTCTTGATCATACTGAGTATGTTTATAACTATTTCAGTGTCTTTGTCTAACAGTCTGTGTCGTTTCTGGGTTTGTGTCTGCTGATCATTCCAGCTTTGTGTATTCTTCATTTTGGATGTATTTCCCTCATTTGCTGCTTTGTATGTAGTTCGTTCGGGCTGGGACTTTTGGTATTCTGTTAAATGTTGTTAGCTTTGTTCTGGGATGCAGGTAGGACACTTGGAAACAGTTTGATCCTGCCAAGTCATGTTTCTAAGCTTTGTTGGGCAGACCAGAGCAGCTGTAATGTAGGACTAATTTGTCCCCTTCCTAAGATAATAATACAACATCCCGCTGAGCATTCTTCCCGTTTCTCTGATGCTCCATGCATTCTGAGGTTTCTCCACTCTGTTTGGGAAACTACACTTTCCAGCTCTGCAGGAGTTTTGGGAACCCTTCCCAGTGCCTTGTGTAGCTTCTCCATGGGCATCATCTGATCAAAACTCTGAAAATTCCAGGGCACTTCCTGTGGGTCTCCTGCCCTCCTGCAGAGCTTTCTCTGCTCTCTCGGCTCTGAGCTTCCTGAGCTTTCAACTCAGGGAGAGCTATTTGTGCTTGCTCTTACTACTTTGTGGCCCAGACACTCCTGACTCTGAAAGATGTTCGATTATCTGCTCTCTTGAGGTTGTCTATCTGGCCATGTGACTGACAGCCTTCTGAGGATGCAGGAAGTTTTCAGATGACACTTTGGGCAATCGAGATTACATTGGAGTTCAGATTCAGCTCTTTCTGATGGTGGATGGACCCATACAGATAACTAACTCCTGGATGAACAGAAACCTTGTGTGTCCTAAGGCCTGTGCTCAGGTGGACAACACAGCTGCACTGACTGTCCCACGAGAGGCTGGCAGGGTGACAGGCTGAGCCTGTCCTCAGCACCACATGCAGCACCTAGGCAGAGCTGCTCCTGGTCTCTGTCGCTTCCCGTCTGTTCCCTTTGCAAGCTAGCCCTCCATTTCTTGATCACTACTTGAACTTTCTTTTTTTTTTGGTGCCGGGGATCGAACTTGGGTCCTTGCGCTTGCACAGCAGGCGGCAAAACCACTGAGCTAAATACGCAGCCCTACTTGAACTTTCTTAAGGCTCTATTCTAAGCTGTCTTGACTCATTTTTTTTCCTCTCCAGGTATGTGCATTTATGCTTAGGACTTCACTGCTTAAGTGCTAATGAGTTACAGATGTGTTTCCAGGTTAACTCCATATCCAGATTTCTACTTCACATCCCTTCTTGGGTTGTTGACATTTCAAATCCAACATACTCAGCATGCCCACAAGTTGCCTCATGGTCCGGTGTCCCTTCTGCCTAGCCCTCCCTTTGCTGAGATAATTCCCACTCTTCTTTCTGGTGCTGCTCAGTTACCACTTCCTCAGGAAAGCTTTTCTTGACCTCTAACTTGGTCAGGTCCTTATTTTTCACTCTTTTATAGCACTTCCTTTTTTTTTTTTTTTAATAGCACTTTCTTTTTGCAGTTGGGTTTTTACATGTATTTGATTGTCTCCGTCACTGGCCTCTGAACTCTTATTAGGGAACTCTTTTTGTTCGTTTTGACTCAGTCACATCTCAGCACTTAGCCAGGGGTTTCTCATATATCCCGTGTTTGCCACACAATAAATATTTGTTTTTTGGGGGGCTTTTTGGGTGCTGGGGATCGAACTTGGGTCCTTGTGCTTGCACAGCAGGCGATGAAACCACTGAGCTAAATCCCCAGCCCACAATAAATATTTGTTATAGGAATGAAGAGATGCAGTCTGGTCTATTTTAGGATGCTTCAGTAATTGTAGTTCAGATACAGTCAGCTCTAATGCTTTGCTACCATGAAAAATGTCTCTTTACCTTACAAGTTTTCTAAGTGTCTTAAGTTTTAAGCAGGAATATTTAATTAAGCTCAGCCATCCTGGCATTACAAAACAAGCAAATTCAGACAACACCACCATGACCTTTCATTTAATTGTAATGAAGGGATCAGTGAGGTACCTGTCAAAGTATATTTAGGAAATGAATTGTGTGACTTTTTCATGTTTTTCCTCATGATTTATACTCATATCTTTCTAGCACTCTGATCTACAAATTTGGAAGAACCGAAGAGCTCTGGACCTGAGATCACTTCTTTTTTTTTTTTTTTGGTACCGGGGATCGAACTCAGGTCCTTGCGCTTACACAGCAGGTGGCGAAACCACTGAGCTAAATCCCCGGCCTCCTGAGATCACTTCTTAAATCACATTTTCCTTTTGTTATAGTCTATTTGTAGATGAGGCCCCTCCCGCGCCCCCATCGAACTCAGGACCTTGCACTTGTCAGGCAGGCGAGGCGCCACTGAGCTACATCCCGGGCTTAGATAAGCTTTTATCTCTCGATATAATTTACACATTGCCAAATGTATAAATAGATTGTACATTAAATGTTTTTGTTTCTTTACATTTTTATGCCCTGAGTTCTGAAATAGGTTTATGAAATGTCCTTTTTTCATTGACTAGACTGTTAATATATACGTAATACAAGACTACGGATTGGATGATGACTATCAGTTTTTTATTCATAAGACACAAAGCTTGATCTGTTCCCTGAGCCAGGGTTGTGTCACCGTGTCATTTCAGAGCTAAATACTGTCTCAGTGTCTCTAATTCCTGAAGATGTACAAAAAGGTATCTCTGTATACCTGGGATAAGTGCTAAGCCACTTAAAAAGTTATTTCTGCAAGTTGTAATTTATTTTGGCTTAAAATGAGATTTTTTAAAGGAAAATGTTTGTTCTTCTGTATTAAAGAAATCGACTTTTATGTGAAGATTTAAAAAATACCCACAGGATTAGTTTGAAAGCCTCTTTTAAATAGATTTCCTCTGCTGTGACTTCATTTGAGAAGGGATAATACATGATCGAATAAACTCAGTTTTTATGATTAATGTAAAAAGACTGTAAGGCTGCTCAGCATTGAGCTTCCCATAAAAGCACCTTCGGCGGCCTGCTGGGTTCTCTTTTGACGCACCTGCTATTGTCTGGCATTACACAGTTGTGTGGCAAGCAAGTCTGAGATGACTGCAGTTTAGAAGTATGAACCACATAACAGTGGAATAGTTGAAAGATAAAGCACTTCTTCCGAACGGAATTAAGACTTAGTAAAAATTAATCGTTTCAACCACTTAGTTACTGACTGCAAGTCTCTCTGCTGTAGCTCTGAAGCTTTGAACAGTTGCTGCAAAATATATCTTTGAAATTTCGCACTCCAATCCAAAACTTCTTTGACCTAGTCTGAAATACTGTATTTGCACTGTGTGTATTGTGGGCCTTTATTGCTACTTTTGCTTTCCTTTGTTATAAAGATTTTGTGTTGCACTTTTTTCCTCAGAGGGATTTTATAGAGCCTTTTGTCCTAAAATGGGATAATATCAGTAGTAGTATATGCAACTTCTAATGCAAGCCTTATTCTGCATATCTTCTCTCTGAGAGGACTTACTGTGCGCAGAGTACAAAGCAGTTGTGGAAAGCTGTGCCTTTGTCTAGATACTATCTTGTTCATTACTTGTTTTTTTCTCAAAATGTTAGTGAGCTGTGTCTTGCTTCGAACAAATTTTGAGACTACTTGTTTGGACTCTTATAACCTGTTGCAATATATATTACCTGTCACACATTCTAATATTGTTAAGTGTTTGGAAAAATTAACCATAAAAATGGATTTGCTGTTCACTTTTTAATTATTCAAGTACATTGATCAAACAAGCAGTTCATCTTTATTTAAAAAAGGAGAAATACAGTAATATACTCAAACTTTAAAATACCAGTGTAAAGGTGTATGAAGGGTATCCCTAAAAAAAAGAGGGGTATCCCTGAAGACCGACTGAAAATGATTTTCTTTTCTATTCTCACCTCTGACATGAATGTTTTCTTACTGTAAGCAAATCAATTAATTTTCTCAATTTATTTTCCATTTAAATAAGAGCAATTGGTATCCACTCTTAGAGGTATTGTGAGTTGGTAGACTTCATAACTACGTGTGATTCTCTTAATAAAGGTCTCACTGTTAAATTCAGTGGTTGTTGAATGAATGTCTTTTATGTGTGATCAATATTACCACTATATTCTGTTGTATTTCTTAAGATCCATGTTATATTCCTTGTGTTATTGTCACTGATGAGAAAATAGGCTGGATCTTTCCATTATATATATTTTTCTCTATAAATAAGACCTCAGCATGCATTAACATAATGAATTTTGAAGGCTATAAAAGATGAATGATACCAAACCATGTCAAGCATTCCAAGAGTGTTTGATGTTGATGCACGATTCCCGCCTGTTTGATGTAGGTGTATTGAACTCATGTTTCCTTGATGGAAGAAATATTTCTGTGTCAGCTCAGGAACATTTTTCATTGCTTTATAGATTTAGTTACTTCATATGAATCTCTGCCAGTCGTATAAATTTATCCCTGTTCTTTCATACTGAACTGTCATCACTCATTTTGATTCTTCTTAGAGTTTGGGGCTACTTTTAGGTATTTTAATCTCAAGCAACAACCTGTTAGGCCCTGGAGGAGAGTATCTGAGGCTAACTTTCTTCTATAAACAGTTAGTTGCATTTTGTTGTTACAAGTACTCCAGCCTGTGCAGTTTTTTCATACCAGTCTCTTCATGTCATTTGTTCAGATAAGAAAGATTAGAAATTGAAATAGAGGGCCGGGGATTTAGCTCAGTGGTTCTGCCGCCTGCTGCGCAAGCGCAAGGACCCGAGTTCGATCTCCGGTACCAAAAAAAAAAAAATTGAAATAGAAGCTATTTGAAGTAGAAATAATAATTATTAGTAGTAATTCGTGCTGGGGATTGAACCTAGAGCTTTACACTTGGTAAGCACATACCCTTCCACTGAGTTACATCTCTAGCCTAGTAATGCTAGACACTACACCACCAGCTGATAAAGACAAGAAACAAGATTTAGAGAGAACTGGGTCTTGGGCTGATAAATGCTGCTCTGGGCAGCAAAGACAAGGGGCGCCAAGTGTGCCCATTTTATTGACTCCAAGTGTGGGAAGGTAAGAAAGGTATCCTTTGAAGACATTTAGCAGGACAGTGTGAAGTGTCCAGAAGGATCTGGCTGGAAGCATCTGGTGATGGCTGATAATGCAGGCAGAAATATCTGATATGCAGGCAGGGATATCTGATATGCCGACAGGTATGTAAAGGAGGAAGGCACTGCTTGTCTTGCTTGGAGAGATCAAAGGGTGCTGAGACTGGGTTGCAGTTAACCATCAACCCATCAGGTCAGTGACAAAGCATAATTCAGGGGAAGGGATTTGGTTGGAGCCAGGTTGACCTTAGCCGGAAGTGAACTCAGCTGAGCCCTGCTATTTCACAGATTTAGTTTCAATAGCAGCCATTATCAAAGGAGCAATGCTGGCCCAACGCTGCTATCTGACATGTCCATTTGGGTCATATAAAGCTTCAGTCAAACTCCTAAGATAAAACAATAAAGCAGAATTATGGAAGAGCAAGAGCAGGCATCTCTGCCTGCTAGTACTAGGCAGAGTTGCCTGCTAAACCATATAAGTCACTCAGTAGATTTTTTTCCCCCTGATTTCTGGCTGAAAATGAATAGCCTATTGTGATTGATAGGTGTAATGCTTTCCTGAAGAATCACTGAAGAAAATCAGGACATGTTTATTTGATCCTGTAGTCGTTTTTCATTTGTAGGGAATTGTGGAGGGAATTTTTCACAGCCCATCCTCATTTTCTTGGAAATAGTCTTATACAGGTCAGGGATTTAGCTCAGTGGTTCCGCCACCTGCCTCACAAGCGCAAGGTCCTGAGTTCGATCTCCGGTACCAAAAAAAAAAAAAAAAAGTCTTATATTTCCATTTTATAAAAAATGAACTAATTTGTGTGCTAACTGATTGAAGAATCTTTACTTACTCTCTCACCCCATGAATTTATTTTTAAAAATTTTACTTTTTATTGACAAATATTGAAAAATTATCCATGGGGTACAAAGCAGTTATGCTTTTCATCTACAATGTGAAGTGATTGAATTAATCCAATTAACATGTCCATCACTTCAACTATCCCCTGAATTTCATTATTACCAAGCCCAAAGTATTTTGTCCTCTCTCTTCTTTTCCACCCCCGCCCCCCCCAAACTGGAAATCTTTCCAGATGAGTCAATTCCTGTTATTCTGAGTAGGTTGGTTCAGTAAAGTTGTGGTGACCACTAAATTAGAGAATACTGAAGCATTGTCTCTAGGGGGAAGGACAAGGTCAGCCTCCTGAGAGCCCGTAATCTCAATGTTGTCCTCGACTGATCAGTACTGACCTTGCTTTATGTGTATTTGTGCTTTAGGACATCTTGTTTAGCATTGATCCTGGGTCCAACAGCAATATAACTCATGCTCAGTGAAACTTCTGGAATAGATCTCCCCCCATGGCATATCACATCCTTCTTGTGTTTAGGGACAGTACTTCAGCACTTGGAGGCCATTTTAAACTGAAATCACCAATGGAAAGAACAAAAGTGTGAAAAATTTACTAAATTGACTCTTTTTTTTTGGTACTGGGGATCAAACTTGGGTCCTTGTGCTTGCGGGACAACCGGCTGAAGCACTGAACTAAATCCCCGGCCCAGTGAATGGACTATTAAGGATACTTGTTGACAATATGAGAGCTGAAACAAGGCTGAGAGTTGCCTTGCATGCGCCTCACCTGTCAGGTGACTGAAATTACTCTTTGTACATGTTCTCAAATGATCAGAAAATCCCCTCCAGTCTTGGTTCTGAGGTTACAAATATTAGCAAGTGGGTGAACTTACAGATACACAATCTGAATAATGAAGATGTCGTGTAGCTAAGGAGCTCCTAGTGACTTTTCCTTTAACAAGTTATTTTTTCATCCCTATTATGGCACATCATTTTGTCACCTGCTAGTGTTGGTCTTTAGCCACGTCAGATGGAAATCAGACTCAGGCTGGTTCTTCAACCACTTCATTGCTGATGGCCATCACCATTGTCCCCATACAGGCTTCCCAGACATTAGCAGTAGGCTGAGGGCTCTTTTGCTCTATTTATGTAGAAATCTCAAATTGGCAAAGTATAGCTGTTTTGTTGTTGACAGTCCTGAGCTTTGAATGCTATGGCTATCAGCTCTTAGGGTTGGCAGCTTTCTTTGCCACTGAGAGCCAGCAGGTGCCAATAGGCCTCTAGCACTCTGTTCTGGCCACCACAAAAGGTGACTCCCAACAATTTTCCCTTGCTCTGTTGTTCTCTGTTGCTAGCTGCATTCAGTGGTAGCAGCCCTGGCTGCTGGCTGCTTTTGGCAACCCTGTTCTTCCATGCACTCAGCTTTGGTGTTGCCAGCTCCTAGTGTACCACCTCAGTGTTCTGTACTTGAGATAGAAATGCCAAATAGGGAAACATATGCCATCCAGAAGAGGTTTTATTAAGACTTATGTGGCAGGGCTGGGGATTTAGCTCAGTGGTTTTGCTGCCTACTGTGCAAGCGCAAGGACCCAAGTTTGATCCCTGGTACCAAAAAAAAAAGAAAAAATAAAAAGACATGTGGCAGCACAAGGGATGTCTTAGTTATTTTTCTCATTGCTGAGATAAAATATCTGACACCCGATGTTTGTTTTTTAAAATTTTTTTTGGTACCGGGGATTGAACTCAGGTTCTTGCACTTTCGAGCCTGGTGGTGGAACTACTGAGCTAAATCCCCAGTCCATTTGACACCGAATGTTAAAGGAGGAAAGGTTTATTCGGCTCACAGTCTGTGGAGGTTTCAGTCCATAGTCAGCTGGCTCCAAGGCAGGGTGGCATGGCTAAGGGGCATCACAGAGGAGAAACAGTTCATGGCAAAGCAGGGCAGGCAGAAGGCAGCTGCAGTGAAGTAGCAACCAGCAAACAATAATAGCAGCTTCTTTCTTCCCCTTTTCTATTCTTTTCTAGGCTACCGGGTTTAGGGTGGGCACCAGACCAATCAGTGGATGGATTTAATAATCACACCCTTAATCCCAGCATCACACATTCAAGGTCCAGTCACCTCTGAAAAAGCCCCACCTATGACTGCATGAGGCTTTGAGGGGACATCCAGACACAAACCATAGCAAGGTGTAATAGTGCACAAACTAACCTGCTAAGGGTTTGGGAAAGTTGCTTATATAGAGAAAAAGGTGCACTCATGCATGCATGTTGACAGATATTCTGTTTGATCATGGGTAGAGGAGGGGCCACTTGAGGACCTAATGGAGACAAAATGTAGGACACAGAGGGGCAGAGTCATCCAGAGATGCAGGGTGGAGTCATCTGGGATAGATTCATGTCTGAGGCCTGCTGCAGCCAAAGCAAATGTCTCCTGGTGCAGCTATGGGCATGATGTAGCTGAGCTGGCTGCAAGGTGTTTGGGGCAGCTGGGGAAGAAAAAATGTTTCTTGAGCTTCAGACTCACCTGTCTCAATTTCTTCTTTCAATATTGGCAGTTTAATCACCTCTCTGTAGGGCTTCGTTTGAGGATTCTTTTCCTGCTGAACTGAGAACTCTGTGTCCTGCATTTTGTCTCCTGTCATTCTCACAATTGACAGGCAGAAATTGGGCTGAACTAGGCCGAAACACGCCCCCCCCTTCTGTTTTCTTTTCCTTAGAGCTCTGTAAAGTGTGCACTGTGTGTTTTGGGAGGGAGGGGCCAAATCTGTAGTGTTTTCTGTATTTGAGACTTGGAAATTTATCTCCGAGAACACTGAGAAATGTACTTTGGGGAAACTGCTGTCGTGATGGCTTTAGGAGAATGGATAGAATGTGGGAAGTTAACAAAGGACAGGATGTGTTCAGGTGCGGCTGTTGCTGGCATTGGTCTATGGCCAGCCTCATGCTGAGGAGTAAAAATGGTGATGGGGGGACAGTAGGAGAGTAATACTTCCATTGCCTGGTTATTGTTCTGGTTTGTAGTTAGGGTTCTGGGTGGATGGGGTGTGTGGATTATGTTTAGGCTAGTTTACTTCTGTTTCACCCTAGCTCTGCGGCTTGCCAGCAGTGTGACCAGAGGCTGTTTCCCTATC